CCCCCCCTCCATCTCCAGTTAACTGATGAAAGTTTGAGATAAACAGGAGTGGATTACCTAAATAGTTTTAAATATAGTTAGTTTTGAGTAAAAATAAGGGAAGTCAGACAATCTCAATTTACATTTTAGAAAGTGATCTCAACTGCAAAATCAATGGCTTTGTATCATTTTGATTAGTCTTCTGATAGGCAGAGGGTAAGGGAAAAGATACAGATGTTCCTAGATAGCACTATATGAAGACTGAAATATATAAAAATGCAAGATATTTTGGTAAAAGGAACTGATATCAGCCCTAATAACTATGAAGTTTCTTGCTTTGGGGCAAATGGGGAGGAAATTCACCATCTTTCTTCTAACTACTTCTAAATATATCTCACTTAATTATACCCTGTATTTACCTGCCAAATATTACAGCTTTTTCTGAGTAGCCTTCTGCATGCTTCAGAATCACTTAAGAAGTTTCATTGTATTTGACCTCTGGACTGGAGTTATAGCAAAGCACAAAATTCCCATGTGGTTATGGATCAAGCCTGTAATGTTTGTTCTGAAAGTTGCTCGACTGTTTCACCCCGATGATTCAGAAACTTGTAACGTTTGAATAGTCATGAAATGCTTTAAGGCAGCATTTGGAAAGTGGAATGGCCTTGACTAACTTTGGTGCAAAAAGACTTTCATTAAATATTTAGGTTACTGATTAACAACTGCTATTGCCTTATTTTTATGTTCTAATGGTAGGGCAGTAGCAAGGGATGTAAAGGAAAGGCAGCAGTTGGCTGTACCTACCTCATGCTTGATTTGTGCATGTTGCGAGTAGCCTTGACTTTAGTTTTGGTGAATATTTCTACATTTGGACAGTGAGTGGAAGAGAAGAAACCTTAAATGCGTGGAAGAATTATGACAGGGAGATGGATCCTAGTGTCACCCATTATAGCAATCTGAACAAATGTTTAGAAAGGTTAAGTGCTAAATGTACTGATGTCTGTAAACATTTACAATCAACTTGTGCATTTCAGTACTTGAGCACCTGTCATTAAACAATGTTAGCGTATTGAATTGGAAAGCTTTTTTCCTCACTTGCTTTCAAGATCTAAAACAGATATGCTTCCTTTTGTATCTCCAAAATAATGTTTGGGTGTATATACAGTAAGTATAGTGGTAGTAATAGAAATAGTAGTAGTAATAGTAGTAGTAGTAATGTTATGTGGTTTTTAGAGCCCAAAGATTCCTACAATGAAAATGGCAACTTGTTTTCTCCTACATGGGATACTTTCTTGTATGATAAAAGGAATGGTGGGGGAAAGCCAAAGACAAATAGGCAAAGCCTCAAGTATTCACAAATAATGGAAACTGTGCCAGAAAAATCTCCTAGAATCCTAAGTGAGGCTATTTCCCATTGTTTCCTTCTCAATTCTTCTCAGAGTTGACCTTCCTGGGAAAACCAAATAATTGCCATCTACTACTTGTAACTAACTCTGTGTTGCTGAAATAATAACGGGTTTCAAAGTATGCATTGAATCTGACAAATTTCTACTTTCTAGCCTTGTTCGTTTGGTGAACTATTTTGTAAGGTTGTGCCTGATATTCAAAAGAGATGCTTTGCAAAGTGCATTAGTAGTACGAAACATCTCCAAAGCATTAAAGCACTTGTGTGGTTTGCAAGATGACTGGGGTATAGCAAAGATAACCATGTGGATAAATAGAGAGACATTTTTGCCCAGGCTATGAAAGAAACAAAATGGCTGTACAAATACATGCCAAGTCAGTTTTGGAAGGACTTGCACAGCCTTGCAAAAGACATGATGGTTTTAACGCTTTGAAGGCATGCTAATGCTCTTCACACTAACGACCTACAAAGCACTTTTTCTGACTACTTTGCACAGTCATACTGTCTCATGGTAGTTATTTATTTTTAAATATTTCATGTGTATATCATCTAGAATAAAGCTCCTCCATTTAAATACATTGCTACAGATTAAATTTAAGTTCAGGTTTTGCCCCAGAAGTAATGCACAAATCCATTCTTTCTGAAACCTATTGGCAAATATATTAGAACTAGCTCCTTTTTTCTCAAATTAGAATGGGAATCCTCCTTCTTTAATAGCCTGGGTTTGCTAATACTAATAGACAGTATCTACATGATTTTCTTTTAAAAATAACAGCATCTTATTTAGAGCTACCGACATCTGGAAAAACGTTGGGTAGTATAAAAAATATACTCTTTTTTGCCATCCAGAGATCATTGGGAGTTTGTAGCTCATGCCTGATCAGTGTTTTCTTGTTGAATAAAGCTTAATAGAAAAATGTATCATGAAAGAAATAAAAACATCTTCCATTTTCTCTTTATCTAGATGGTACAAAACTTTCAAGATGAATCTTGCTTCATCATCTCTACATTGAAAGGTATATCTGCATACATTCCCTGCCATAATGTAATAGTTTTTCCGGGTCTCACACTGAGAGATGCAAGAAGCAACCTATAAGCATTTTTCAAAAGTTCTTTGGTTAACATTCAACTATAAATATGAAGAGATAGCCAGATAGCACCTATGGAGCCCTCTTCTAAAAACAATAATTGCCTTATTCCAGTTGCTTCTCTAAAGTAGGTCAAAAGGTCCTCTTGGCAATTGTTAGAAGATTTTGAATGGGAATCTAATAAAATGCAGCCCCAGGACCCAAATCACTAAAAAATCTGCTTACCGTTGGATAGGTGTTTTGGGAGGGAAACTGCAGAAGTCTGCTTTGAAATTAGACTGATCTTTCTTTTGTTTTTTTATGACTGATACTCTGGATGAGAGAAAAGATAGGCCACCTTCTACCTACCTGTATGTTATCTTGCCTCCCAGTGAAAAAGTTTATATTTTCTAGCAAAAAATGTTCCATAATTTAACACTGATATGCCTTCCCAATACATTCAAAATGATTTTTCAGAATGGTGTTTTTATAGTCTCCTGTTGTACAACCAGAATCTGAGGAAAGTACAGACCACAGAATTGTAGAATTGTAGAAATTGGAGAAATTTATAGGACTAAAAACATAAATATTGCAATGAGTTCCTGACAGATTTTTTTCACCCTTTTCTTACAGCTGAAAGTAACGATGGCTACCATATTATTCTGAAATGACCCACTCCTCTGTATATTTGGACTTGGAACAGCTTTACAGCACGATGTCTCATTCTCCTTCCTGCAACTCAGTCTATAAAGATAGAAAATCCATTGGATAAAACACTGTTATTAACCAAATGCCCTAACAAGGAGATTAAATTGTGTGGTGTTTGGAGACTTGAGGACCACATAATGCCTTCGCTTTGTTACTGATCTAGTGATAGTTTGATTCAAGGGCCTTGTTAAGAAAGTCTTGAAATGAGCAGATGAAATAAGCTGATGCAATAAACCACCAACTTTTGGAATTCATCTTGGATGTGAATTTGAAATTAACTGGTCTTGTCTCCTCTCTTTCCAGACAGTTATAGGAAGTTAATTGCAGGCTTTTATAACTGATTTGTACTGCTTTTCCCCTTAAAGCAGTATTTTTTTAATACTGCTTTGGCAACTTGAAGATGTGTGTAGACTTCAGCTGTCAGAATTTCCCATGCCTTCAAATTGCCAAAGTTGATAACACTACTTCAGAGCAAAGAAACTATCTTCTAAACTCATCATGAGAAAAAGTTTCTGCACTCTGTTCATATTAACAAAGGTTTTCTTTTTCCTTTATTTCCTGATCTTTTATACCTCCAGTTTCCATTTTTAAACTTTTAATTCATTTCTTTTTATGAGCTTCAGAGTTCAAACTAAAACCAGGACAAATAGGGTCAGATCTTACTTACAACTGAATGACGCCCCTAGTAGCTGGTTTATGTTACATCATACAACTTGACTTTCCTTCAGGTTTATTGCGTAGATGAAAAGGGGCTGATTTTTGAGTGGGAAAATGGGAGATTGCTTTCCCACCATTATAGCTAAGAGAACTACAACACCCCTCAAGGAACTGAGTGAGATTTGACTCTGAAAGACAATAAAAATGGTTGCATGTGTACACAGTTGTTAAACAAAAACCTAGCCGCAGTCAAGACTGGACATTAAGCTTTACTTTTAAGCCAGTGATATGTTCAAGAATAAAGCATTGTTTTTTCAAATAAAGTAAAATGGCTCAATTCACTACATAGGTAGAAAGCTATAAGCATAATCAGGAATATCTGGCTTTTGTGCCTTGGACTTATAATATGTGTGAAAAAATGCTCTTATTTCTGTGGCTATTCCGTAGCTCTGATGGTAATTCCATGCCTTCGTCTCAAAGCTTTAAAGAGTGTGTTGCTGCTAAGGAAGGAAAATGGGTGGATATGCCACTTCTGTTTTTTTATGCTTTCTAATCTGAAAATGTAACCTGCAGGAATGTACATGCTTTATATGTTAAAGTTCCTTCCACAAGTAGTGTGGACTTTCACATCTTTAACCTTTGGAGTGGGGAGAGGCAAATCTTACATTGCTCTCACTTCTCTTAGACATTGCAAAGAGTTGCATAGAAATCACATTAAATCGGATGGAAACATGTCTAATATTACATTTTTATATGCATTTAAGACAGACCCTTGCACCCTGATAAATTGAATGGGTGGATGTGCAGAAGTAGCTTCTGTATAAAAAATCCCCGTTGGATTAGAAACATACATAAAGAAAGCTAATGTACGTCTATCTCCCATGATTGTGTGATAGGCCCCGGATTGGAATTGTGCACACAAAGATAGACAACATTGGTTGAGATGGCAGATTATATGCAGCTGCATCATGCGGCATTTGATTGGCATCTGTTGAGTAAGTGCTGAGGGCCAGAATCCTCATATGTAGAGATAACTTCTTAGGCCAGAATTTTGATTTATATATGTTTTACTTTCATCAAGCTCTTGAAATAAAGCAAAATATTGAACTATTATACTCCCCAAACAGTTTTGATGGAAATATATCATGGCACAATACAATTTTGGTTCAAAATTGCCTTTAGCACATTCATAACTGCGTGTTGAACTTCATAGAAGTACTATAAATTCTGTGCTCTTGATAATTGTCTTTTTTTACTTCCTGAAATGAACAGCCTTCATAACAGATTATAGCTAAATGTTTTTTTTTAAAGACTGGAGAAAGCTTGTTATTTTAGGTTAAAAAGTGTAAACCATTTGAGTCAGTAGCAACATGATTGTCTGCCTTAAGTGCTGTGTGTTAATTCTTGTAAGCCAATAAGGAAGCTGACTGAGATTTATAAAATAGTGCTGATTCCTGACTGCTTCAAAATACCTCCATAACAGAGGTCCCCAGCTTTTCAGGCACCAGGGACCGGTTCTGTGGAGAAAGGTTTTTCCACGGACTGGAGAGTGCATGGTTTTGTGTGCTGCTTGCATCCCACAGATGGGGCTTTACTTGTTTGTGCAGATCGGTTGCTGGCATGCTGCGGCCTGGTACCGGTCTATGCACTGGGGGTTGGGAACCCCTGCTCTACAACAAAGGGGCCATGACTTTCTGAGATGAGGGCCTATTTGGAAGATTGAGAGCCCTTCAACAAATAAACATGTTAGGGCTCCCATTCACAAATATATACCTGTTGTGATCAGTATGCCCACTTTTGTGTGGTCTGGATACACTTTGTTGTGGAAATAAAGAAACTGCTGGAAATGGTAAGCAGCATGCCAACTTTCCATTTAAAATGTAAATCTGTAAACAAATTTTGGTATGATAGGGACCAAGGGATAGGATTATGAGAAGTTACTGCCAGAAAATTATATTATCTTGCTGTAGCTACAGCTATGAGACCTTACTTATCCTTTTTCTCTTGTACTGACCCTGAGATTTGAGAGAAAATGTTTGGGTAATGAAAATGTTTGGTGACCAAAAGGATGTTAGTGGTCATGATACCTTTTAATAGTGCTAGTCTCTCAGGAAAAGCAGCTTTAAATCAATGCTTGACTTTTTAAAATGTATGCTGAATATTTGCGCTTATGCGTTTTGTTTTATCCCTATTTTCTGTCTTATTGTGAAGCCTGGTTGATCTTAATCTCGCTAAATATTTGGTATCTTCTGATGATTGGATTAGGTATTTGTGTCTTTCAGAAGAGGTATGGGAGTTTTCTTGTTTTTACTGTGTAACACAAGAACAATTTTAATTGCAATTTAAATGAAGGGAGAATGGAGGCCCAGAATAACATTTCTGAGTGAAAGTGTCAGAATGTTTGTTTATAGGTTTTTAAAAATACATATTTTGCACTGGCCATTCTACTGTTGTACAGGAAAAAATATTTGCTGTCATTCAACTTTTGCCCTGGTAAAACTATAAATAAACTTGTTTGTAAAAAAACAATTCTGGTTTTGAAGTTTATATATTATATACTTCAGGTATTTTTTATCATTTTAATTCCTTCTGCTTAATTTCATTTCATTCAGTGTCTTAAGGCTGACTTTTTGCCACTTAAATTATTACTTTCCCAGTCAAGATTCTAGAGAAAACAAATTACAAGTAGATTTCTACTGACAGTTCTGTTGAGATAGCTTAATTTGTTGTCCTCCCAGATTCTGCTACTGTGGAACAACTGAAGAAAAATGCAAAAACAGCAAAGCAAAATGAAATTATTTTATGTGATCATGAATTAAAGAACAGCGGAGCGGCTAAATGGCACTCATGACTTTTAGTAAAATTGATAATACAGTCTATTGTGAACAGAAGTTTTTGATATCCAGCATAAGTGCAATCATACTGTACTTGACCTAGTCTTACAGGGAGAGTTAACTAAACTGAGGAAATTGGAGTGTGGATCTGAAATTATTCAGACTCCATGCAGTTTTCTTGGCAAGGGTTTTCAGAAGTGGTTTGCCATTGCTTCCTTCCTAGGGCTGAGAGAAAGTAACTAGCCCAAGGTCACCTAGCTGACTCTGTTCCTAAGGCAGGACTAAAATTCACGGTCTCCTGGTTTCAACCCTGATATCTTAAGCACTACACAACAAACTGGCTGTCAATGATTATATGCCTCCCTTAATATTTTTCCAAGAAGCAAGGGCAATGCTCTAAGATTTATGAGATATTAGGAAAATGTTCCTTCCCTGCATCTCTTGAAATTGTGATCCAGCAACTACTGGTGAATTGAGATGCCTCGCGTCTTCCCTGTTGAATTGTTTTGTCATTTACAAATTGTGAATTGCCCCATTTCTGAAATTCTTCTATAATTAGGAACCCATTTTCAGTGCTAGGCTTGGGCATGATTCTCATGATGCTGGTTGCTAAGAATATTGTGTATATGATATGAAGATGCATGAGGAAGTTTAATTGTTGGATGTCAGGGTCCAATGTTGAGCAACGTTTGGATGGGCTGCGAGGTGGTCTCCTATCCAAGCACTCTAAGAAAGATAAAGGGAGAGAACTAATTCTTGAGACAAAAAGTTACATGAAGAAAACTATGTATATGATGTATTTTCTTACTCTAATAAAAAAGAAGGCTAACCCCTAATTGTTAATAGTCTCACTGTTTATTGAGTACTGGGTAGAAATGGCTCTAATAGGTTCTGAAACCCAGAGTTTTGCCAGAAAATTAATACGTTTTTTCCTTGTTTTTAGTAAGATGTAGCAGGTAAGTTTGATGTCCATGTTTGTAGATTGCAGAACTACCAGAAGCCAGAAACTGACTAAATTACCACTAGCTGATAGAATTACTACTAATACTAGTACTTCTCTTCCTCCTTAAAAAAATAATAATTATTATAACAACTTGGTCAACATTTTCTTTAAGCTTTGCAGGAAGTAAAATGTTTTAAAAGAAAACTGATTTTCTGCTTCTTCATAAAACAACAAAGCTTTTAACCTAGAATGAACAATGCAACAATGTTTTAAAAAGCAAAAGTAATTGCTGGCATGTGGTAGTGGGGCTAATCAAAGCATACAAAAGACCAAAGAAGCCCAGAACTTGTTAATTGTTTTTCAACATTTGAACAAAGATATTTCAATACTGCATAATGTTAGCAGTATAAAATTTACAATGTATCTTATCAAGAAGATTTATATTATTATGCTGGCTTGTGGGCCACTTAATGTTTGCAGTCATTCCTTTATTTTGTATCAGTGGCTGAACTCATTGCATTTAAGATTA